GTCCTCTTTTGGAAGACCAAACAAAGTAGTTTCGCTTTCACAACGAAACACACAGCGTCTTCATGACATGGCAGAGGCGGCAACAACAAAACTACAGCAAGAATAAAAGTTATGCCTTTTTTCTTTGCGTGAACATTTGGGCGTGTTATGCAAATCTTCCCACATCGTGACGTAGACATGTGGGGGCGTGTTAGAACGAGCCGTTTTAGGTAGGCGTGGCTGACTCTTAACTTTTATAAAGAATATCTCTTTGGATTTGAGACTTTAGTCTTTGCAACTTTACAGATCTTCTTTATGCACCAAGAGCTTGTAACACTCCAAAGAGAAAGGAAAAATTGAAATCGCGTCATATGACCCCTTTAATACAAACATGTACTTTGTTTGGTCTTCCAAAAGAGGACGATATCGCTTCGTCATGCCTGGAGCTGATCCGTGCTGGTTGCTGAGGAAATACTTCAACTTCGCGCTGTGGATCGCCGGATCGGCTTTCACCGTGGACGAAGCGGAGTCCAGCCCGGGGTCGCCACATGTGGTTGCCGCAGGCATCACAGTATGGTAAGGGGCGTAACATTTCCGTCACACGCTTGAGGAATTCAGCCAATCACAACGCACTGGATAGCTGGCCAATCAGAGCACACCTCGCTTTTCAGACCGATGAGCTTTGTAAAAATCATGTACAGTATGTGGAAAATAATGTGTTTTTTTAACCTTAATCCACATAAACACATTTCATTACACCAAATACACAAAATAATGTTCTTTTTAGCAACATCATATGACCCCTATAATCGTATCAAGATTCAACAGACTGCCTGGATAATTATTTGGTTAAGGTCATTTTCCTCTCGTCTTTTCGAGAAACAGTCATTCTAGTTTTCATGTGTATATACTTTAGAAACGTTTCTATGACATCTCTATTTTTCCTAATTTTAAGCGTGCTGAAATATTGAAAACCATATTTAGCACTCAAGATTCTACTGCTGTGTGAAAGTATCCTGATTGAGTGATTGAAGATCAACAGCTTTAGTGAATCACTGACAAACAAAAACCAGGAGAAAAGTCATTTAAAAATATTAATTTTATTCAACTTATTTTAAATTTCAAACATCTTGGAAACATTATTATATATGTTTTTTTACTTTGGTACATAAAACTCAAACGGTGCAGGTAACATATATAGAATTTGGTGTAGAATTGAGCAAATAAAATTTTACTAAAATAAGTAACAGAGTAACAGTAAATGTAACAGTATCTGTTCTTTTGTCTTCTGATGGATCAGGATGAAGAAACACAGACGTCTTCAGATTCCCAGAGTCTCTTTGGTCACCTGACATCCGAGCAGGACATTCCCCACACACACACACTGAGACAGATCACCCACTGAAACACACACACACACACTCAAATCATCAGTGTGTGTCAAAGAACTGAAGATATTTGCTCAAACGTCTCTTGATGAACGCTGACTGAATGAATGTGGTCTGGAATGGAGGTCTCACCTTTCTGAGAGCCGATCCATGACGCTGCCTTCATGGCCACAAACTGCCACTCCACCTGCTGCTCTATTTTACAGCCGTATAACCAGATCAGAGCCAGGAGAGTGGCCCATACTGACCCATCCACCTGTGTACAAACCATCATCCACTGCATTAGTTACTGGACACCGGACACAATCATCACTGTCTTATTTCATCACATCTCTCACCTGTGCTGGTTTCTGATTGGTCAGCTCATCCTCCGTCTTCCCAAACACATCAGCCAGTGTGGCGTCCAGATCCCAGCAGCCTGATGCCTTTTGGAGAGAAACCAGCTGCAGTAACGGGTCCTTTTGGGGCTCAGGAGCAGCTGAACACACATATACATACATTAAGGACAAGGGAAAAATGAACAGAGAGAAGAACATCTCACTCGCACACACACACACACAAACAGGGTTGTCAACTGATTACACATTAAGAAAATTAATTACGTGACATGTCTGTGTGATTTGGGGCACCATCCTTACTATAAAACACACTCATGGAAAAACACATAAAACCTTTACATATAAAAGCAACTTATTCCCATACAAACCCAATTACACACAACAAAAAACAAACAAACCCCACTTTTGTTGCCTGTTTCAAGCCATTTCTTTTTAGGTTCGGAGCTACACTGTAAGTGTTATGGGCCAAATCAGTCAGGGATATCTCTCGGTGCTCCCGATGGCCAACCCGGACCTGGGTTACCATTTTGTGTAACATGACATGAAAACAACAATCAGTGCTTCAAACATTTCATATTTCACTCCTTCACAAAACTAACACTGAGGCACATTTACCTAACGATGACTTAAAGCATTCAAAGGACTTTACAAGTGTGTCAGGATCCTGTCACTAGGTCGGTCATGTTTATTGTCATGTTATTATTTTTTTTACTTCAATAAAGCCCTCACACTTACTGAGTCCTTGCCTCATCCCTTTCCCACACCTGACAATATATTCAGTATAACAACCAATTCTTCCCATGCAAACCCACTTACACACACACACACACACACACACACACACACACACACACACACACAAAACGAAACAGACG